CTTAGGTGGAACATGTCAATTCTAGAGTAGCTGTGAGCGGTTTGTGAGTAGTAGGTGTAGTCCCTGTCTTGTGGGTGTACTATACGCCAGCAGTCCATCAGTTGATGGGCAAAAAGCGCGTTCGCCAATAGTGTGCGCTGGTGTCGCCTCTTGTCCGAGGCGTGGGTGGAGCTGTCTATCGAATGGTCTAATACCATGTTCCAATCCCCTCCTACAATCACCATTCCTTCTGCGAAGGCCTCTAGTTTGTTTAAGCAGGCTCGGGCGAATGAGCCTTGTTCTGTATTTGGTGCATATATATTGGCCAATGTGATCTGCGTGCCTAGACATTTCCCTTTGACAAACAGGAATCTCCCACCTGGGTCTGCCTTCACTGTGGTGTCTGTGAGGGCCGCCCGTGCGTTTACTAAAATCGCTACCCCTCTAGATTTGCTTTTCCCATAGTTGCTGTGGTAGGATTGTTGGAGGTGTTTAGCTCTGATTCTAGGTTGAGCTTCTCCCCTGAAGTGCGTTTCCTGAATGAATGTAATGTCTGCCAATCTCTTGGGCCAGCGTGCTGCGTTTTTCCGGGGTGTTAAGGCCCCTCACATTAAGGGACATTAGCTTAATTTGCGCCATCATAGTGAGGCAGTCGTTTGTGCCGTTTTATACGGAATTGGGCCCACATGGCCAGGCGTGCGACAGTAGAGGGGTATGGGGTGAGTGTGGGGGAACAGAAACTATATACACAGAAACAAGAAAAAATAAACATATGTACAAAGAGGTGGCGCTGAACTTGTGGGAGACTAAGTCGTGTCCCCAAGTTAGTGGTTAAGCGCTTCTCTGTGGGGAGGTGGAGTTCTGTCTGTCTGGACAGGTCCTGGTTAGGAGGAAGGAGTGGGTTCCTGGGACTCAATGAGATCATAACATGTTCCCCATGCGGGGCCAGTGTCAGTGTCCCTTGTAACGTACCCGGTTCCGGGCTCCCCCGGGGCCCCCTAGTGTGATATAATCATATACTTGTGGGTCATGGGCCCTATTGGTCAGTGTAATATAAATCATTGAAGGTCATTGGCGGCATTGATAATATAGAGAATTATATCTAAACGTAACATTAGCATGTAAAACAAGATAAGCCATAAACATTTTTAGTATATGAGAGATTAGAGCAAAGGATATCTGAGAGCGTCCACAGCCGTCATCAGGCTTCATCGCCTCTGGTCTTGCTAGGGGTCTCGGTCCTAGTCTGAGGCTGCCTCCTCCGCTTTCTAGGTGTTCTCTGCCATGTGGGTCTTTGCTGGAGCGGTGCTGGTTTGCAATTGGAAAGACCTGTCCAATCTTCAATTGCGACCTGGGGTAGCCCCAGTGCCTGCTGAAAATCAGGGACGTCCGTCGGCGTAGTGATATTGTGGGTTCCGCTGTCAGTGGATACTGTTAGGGCGAATGGGAAGGACCAACGGAATTTGATCTGCTTTTCAAGTAGGGCTGATGTAATCGGCTTAAGGGCCCGTCTGGCTTGTAATGTGGCCGGTGAGAGGTCTTGAAAAACCGCCACTGGGTGTCCATATTTTAAGGCCTTATTTTGTCTGGCCTTATGGAATATTTCCTCTTTCAGAGGGAAGTTGTGGATGCGGCATATAAGGTCGCGGGGCATATCCTTTGGTAAGTGTCTGGGCCGTGCTGCCCTGTGGGCCCTGTCAAATTGTATAGCTGTATCAGTTGGTCTGTTGAGGACCTGGTTAAAGAGGGCGGTCAGTACCTTTGATGGGGTTTTCGGTGGCGTCTTCCGGGCCCTCTGGGATTCCCCTCACCCTCAGGTTGTTCCGCCTTCCCCTGTTGTCTATATCGTCCAATTTTCTTTGGAGGTAGGCTATAGCGTCTGTATGCTGGGTTTGTATGGCTTGGGAGTCTGCCCATAAGCGATCATGTGTCTCCTCTGCATCCTCCAGACTCTGTACTCTGGCGCCTAGGTGCTGTACATCATTTGTGATTACTTGCAATTTCTCTCCAAAGGAGTGTTCCAATTTCTGGAACATGTCTGTGAGGTCTTTCTTAGAGGGCAGCCGTGTGAGTAGTGCCCTGATGTCGGATTCATCCTCTGAGCCCTCTGATGGAGCTGGGCTGGGAGGCTGGCTGCCGAGTGTGAGGGCCGCAGGCGCCATTTTGGATGTCTGGTGTGCCTCCGTTTGGTCGGCAAAGAACCTCCTCAGAGAGGACTTTGCCGGCGGGATGACGGTCGATGGGGTACTCCCCGCTGTGTTACGTGCTTTTTTCGTCGCCATTGCTGCTTATACGACCGGGGGGTTGCTGATTTTCTCCTGTCCGGCACGGAGCTCCGTTACTGTGCTGCCAGTCTCGCCGGAGTCTTGGCTACGCCCCCGTATCTCATAAGATGGTGTACATAGTAGGCAGATATCGACCTCTATAGCCTGGAAATGGGTTATTGATTTAGGATCAGATACATTTTTATGGCCAAGTGGCTACCCTTAAATTCTACATAATCTTCACCAGAAAGTATTACTCTAGCCAGTCAGCATTGGATACAACAGGGGATACATAACCAAAATGCTGGTGGCTGAAGCTTTGGCTTATTCTGCTTGATACACCCTACAGTAAGGGGGCCTAAACACACAATATATAACCATTTAACGCATATTATAAGCTGTACCATAGAAGCCTAAATACCACGGTTTTGAGTCTATTAAGAAGAAGAAAAGAAAAAAAAATGACAATCTTGCCATTCCCATGGTGCTGCAACCCCATTACCTTATAATGTATACATGCTCCACATCTCTGCTACATAACTGTGTGGATGCAGTTTAAAGGGACACTATAGGCACCCAGATCACTTAACCCTGCAAGTGTAATTGTTGCAGTTTTTGATAAACTGCAATAGTTATCAGTAGGGTTCACTCCACCTCTGGTGGCTGTCTACCAGCCAGTCATTAGAGGGACTTCTGTTCGCCTATCAGTGGATGTCCTCACCCAAAACCCCATAGGAAAGCACTGTATAATGCGTCCTATTGAGCAAGTCCTAATGCAATCTCTGTGCTCCAGCATTATGTCCCCCTGACTGCTGATGTCAGGGACATAGAAGTTAGAATCTGCACTATTGGGAACTATATTGCTAGGAAAACAACCAGTATTTCCTTTAAGCTATAGTTTCCCTTCAATAGTTTGCATTAGGTCTTTGGTTGTTTAAAGTTTGCTTTGCTGTCGTATTTGGAAATCAATAAAGCCATAAATATGCTGTTTTGGAATTAATGAACTAAGTGGGACAAAACCCAAAACCGCTCCAGTCACCAGGTTTGATGCAATGCTTTCCTATGGGGAATTGATTGACGCCGAGTGTCCATGCCCAGTTAGGTCAAAAGTCACCCATCCATCCATAAGTGCCACTAGATGCAGCCTTAGTCCTGCAAGATTATAATAATTACCGTTGCGGGGTTAAGAGCTGAAGTGGTCTGGGTGCCTGTAAGTGTCCATTTAACTTTATGGAAAGTCAAGGTAGCACAGAAAATTATGCAAAGTCTTATTCTACACATGAATACATTTTGGGGCTAAAAGGATTTTAATTTTGTAGACTGGTCAGGAGATATGCAGTTAGAGCAGGCCTCCCCCAAACACCAGCCCTCCAGATGTTGCTGAACTACTACTCCCATGATTCTATGAATGAAATAGATAGACTGAGGACCATGAGAGTTGTAGTTCAGCAACACATGGAGGGCCAGAGGTTGGGAAAGCCTGAGTTAGAGGGATACCCAATGTACAGGGGGGAAGGGGGGGCTGTGTCACCATTGACAGTCAGGAGCAAACATGCTGCAGGGGAAATCAAATTTGGCAACATTCATATTAGTCACCTGAAACTTGTGTACAGCTGACTAATACAGTCCCAGTAACATAGGCTGTGTTTAATATCTATGCATAGTGTTTTAGTGAAATGCTACACATACAGACTCCAGGTACCATGACCACTTCAGATTAGTAAAGTGGTCACAACAAGTAATCTTTTCTGTGCTGCCTAAACTCAATGGGGAGTGTAGGCAGCACAGAAAACAATTCAGAGTTGTATTCTATAATCACTACAGAATTCTGTAGTGGTGGTTAGTGACCCTTTCTAGGGATAGTCTTCACACAAGCACCCACCTTGACAATTCTGTCTAGAGAAACCTAGGACTGCTCAGCTCTGACAGTGCTGTAGAAAATGAGCAGTTTGTGAAAATTGATTGTTGCTACTCTAAGCCTATCAGACAACTTGGGGTGTGCTCTCTCCTCTGAGAAGAGACAGTCAAGCTGTAAACCTTGCTTCTGTCACCATCTACACTAAAACAGTCAAGAGGAGGTATATGGGAAGAGGTTATTTATTTGTTTATTTCCCTGCTGAGGAAGGGGTTTCCCAGCGTCTGCAAACAATGCACCAAAAAGGAAAGTACTAAAATAAAATTAAAGTGATTACACATATTGAAAAAATAGAAAATGTAATCAAATATGGGTATATTCCACCAACTTAAAAGGTTACCAAAAGAAATCCAGTATGTCAAAATATATGAATAATACTTAAAATACAACAATGCACTTAATACCCATTCAGATAATAAGGACGTGGGCTGATTAGTGTTATAAAACAAATTAACAGTGATGTTACAAAATATCAAGAAATAGGGTTGACAAATTCTATTGTTGCAGATTTAAAGAACCCAGTATAACCTATTGGTCTCGCTGGTGTCGACATTTAAAAGCTGTAAAATTGTAAGGGAGAAGGCTATATGAGCAAATAATTGCAGCACTAACTGCTGATCTTTAATAAAATGATAGGGTATAAAATTGCAGTGGCATCAGTAATGCCCTATTCATGGTATCAGGTTACCTATAAGCTCAATGATTTTTTTTCTTCTTTTCTTAAACAAATCAGCGTGCACACACATCACATTATTGATTCTTCAATAAAACATTGAAGGTTTGTATTTACTACTTGCACTCAACAGCTGCCACTACCCTATATACTAAGAAATACAGGAGTATTAATTTGATGCAGCAGAAGCTTCTTGGTCTACTCCCGACAGGTGCATGAAAAGGTCTCCCAGATCAGATTCTTCATCTTCAAGATTTGGTATGCCTCTGTTCTCACGATCTTCAATGAAGTCCCACAGTCGCACAGAATTGAAGAACTGCATTAGAACCAACAAGGCAAGTTTAGTACACTTGTGAATTTTTTTAAAAATTTCTCCTCTTCAAAATCACCTGTAAATATTTTTTAAAAACTCAAGTTTCCTCAGCTGAGCATTTATATATAAAAAAAAAAATTTCAGACATTAGTAAGACAAGATATATAGATATACATCTCAAATCTCCATGAAGAAAGGCACACGCTGGGCTTTTTGTTCAAAAGAGCCCAGCGTGTGCCTATCTTCGTGGAGATGTTGAGGTGGCTGAAAGAGCACAGTGGCACTTATACTACAAATGTGAGTGCATAATCATGGAATAATATATGTAATTTTTTGTTTCTTCTACCTCTTTCCTTCCCTTCTTGCCAGTTACCAGATCCTACCCTCACTCTTGCTTCCCCCCCAAGACACAAGGGGAGGGGGGAACAAAAGGTTTTCCAAATAAATGAAGTTTGTGGAATAAGTTGCATCATTAACACTCTAAATAAGGAAGCACCTTGGTACCAAAAGTGAACAGTATCAAACCAGACGATAAATAAATAAGATATATATTCTGGAAATTGGATAGAAAACCTAAATAAAATCATCTATGGTGATCGAAGATCTAGATTTACTATGGAAAAATTTAAAGACCAAATTAAGAATCAAAGGGAAACTTGTAGATAACCTCCCAATAGAAATTGTAGAAATAAACAGAAATCAATCTCAGACAACGGAAACAAAATGGTGTCAAACAAATAAAATGTTATCGCAAATAATGAAATAAAATATTTTAATCAGATTAAAAGAGAACTCAAATGAAGGATTCTCATACAGAATAAAGTTTTCTATCAAGAGATTAAAATCAACAAAACTCAAAACACTTTCCAAATTTTAAATGACCCAAATAAAATTAAATGATAAAAATCTCACCTAATGTATCTGAGAAATATCCCACTATACAAGCTACAAATATATGGAATAAGGAATTACAGACTAAAATAAATTATAATGGCTAAAGATACTGAAACAAACCAAAAATGCCATCCACTGCCTTAATTTAATAGAAACACAATATCAATTGGTTAACAGATTGTTTTATGATCCACTAAAGCTATCAATTATATATCCAAGCAACCCACCAACATTTTGGAAATGCGAAGCAATGAGCGGTTTATATTCACATTTGCCAAACTATCAAGCCCCAATACTGCTGTAAGAAAGTCAGTGTCCCATCAGCTGATCATCTGCAATAAGCAAAGGTAGCCTTCTGGAAGACCACACTAAGACTATCCTGCACAGCATCATTTATATTTAATGTAACCACCCTGCTGTACATTTATTTTATATATCCTGAGTGCATTGTGTATTCTCTTGCCTTTATATCTTGTCTGTCATGCTAAAGTGTAGTTTTGCCAGCCCTGTATGTACCGTATTTATCGGCGTATAACACGCACTTTTTCTCCCTGAAAATAGGGGAGAAATTGTGGGTGCGTGTTATACGCCGGCCCTTTAAATACTGCAGCCACCTGAGCGCTCTGTCAAGAGCGCTCAGGCGGCTGCAGTTGGTACTCACCTCCCCTGTAGCGTGGCCGAGCCGCTCTACTGTCCGCGGTGGCCGGCCGGACTGATAGGAAGGTGCACGCTCAGTGTGCACCTTCCTGTCAGTCCGACCGGGTACAGGAAAACAGAAACTCCTGTTCCGCTACATTTAAACGCAGCAAGCACCCCAACAACCTTGGCATACCAAGTGGACTGGATACCTCCAAAAATGCTCCAGAACTGCTGAAAGCTGTTGGAGAAAGTCTCACTGGGCGTCTGACTTTCTCCACTATAAATTTATGCTGCACTCAGTTTGGCTCTTTCCTCTGCAAAAGTACATTACTTCAATACCCTCATAACCACACTCTCCTGCAAACCCAAACTACTATTTCACACATTTAACTCTTTGCCCTATTGTTCCTCATCCACCTACTAACTTGACCGCCTCAGACTTTGCAACTCACTTCACTGACAAGATCTCTACAATCAGGGAAGAGATCTCTTGTTTCTTCCCCTTACCTCACCCACTCTGCTGTTCTATGTTCATTTGCACCCGCTACAGTGGAAGAGGTTTCTGCTCTGCTCCAGTCCTCCCACCCCACCACCTGCTCCCTAGATCCAATTCCCACGCATCTCATCCGCACTCTTCTCTTTCTATACCTCACTAAGATTCTCTCCCCCCTATTTCTATCGCCCTTCAAACATGCAACTATAACCCCAATTCGAAGTAAGCCCAACCTTTACACCAACTCCCCGTCCAACTGCCCATCTCGCTACTGCCTTTTGCGTCCAAGAACCTTGAAAGATTTGTGTATGAGAGATTGACAGACTTAGAGTCCAATTCTCTGCTCGCTTCAGTCTGGTTTCCGCGCTACGTACGCTGTGGAAACAGCACTGACCAAAGTATCCAATTATCTACTCGCTGCAAAGTCTCGTGGTTACTACACTATCTTAATTCTCCTTGACCTTCCTGCGGCTTTTGACACTTAATCATCAACAGCTTCTTCTCATCCTCCGCAAGATCGGTTTACAAGATCAATGCTCTTTCAGCGTTTCTTTCTCTGGCTCTACTTCTCCCCAACTCCTCTGTTGGTATCCCCCAAGATTCAGTCCTTGGTCCCCTACTGTTCTCCATCTATACAGCCTCCCTAAATAAACTCATTAGCTCCTTTGGCTTCCAATATAATTTCTATATACACAAATCTGTCCTCTCCTGATCTTTCCCTGTCCCTCTTGATTAGTGTATGAGTGCCTCTGCTATTTCTAACTGGTGTTGCTACTCCTGTGTCTGCCTACAAGTCAGTGGTGCTACCATCAGCTCCACCACACAGGCTCACTGCCTAGGTGTTTCGACCTCTCCTTCATGCCTCATGTTCAATCTATCGCCAATTCCTGACGGTTCCATCTCAAATGTTGCGTGCATCCGACCATACTTAACACTAGATGCGACTAAGGTGCTGGTCCATTCCACTGTCCTATCTTGCCTTAACTACTGTAATCTGCTTTGCAGTGGTCTTATTTGCTCCCAACTTGCACCGTTACAGTCCATAATGAAAGCGGCGGCGAGGTCCATCTTCCTGTCCGCCCGCACCTCCCACTTCTGACAGTCCCTACATTGGCTTCCTGTAAGATAGGGCTCAATTTAAAATTCTGGTTCTTGTTATCAAATCTCTATATAGTGCTGCTCCCACCTATCTATCCACCCTAATACACAAGTATGTCCAGTCTACGCCCTTACGATCTGCTAAAGACTTAAAGGACCACTATAGTCACCCAGACCACTTCAGCTTAATGAAGTGGTCTGGGTGCCAGGTCCAGCTAGGTTTAACCTTTTTTCTATAAACATAGCAGTTTCAGAGAAACTGCTATGTTTATAAATAGGGCACCCTCAGGGCACTATAGTGGTCCTTTAAGTCTATCTTCTGTCTGTACTCTCACCTCTGATGCTCGCCTTCAAGACTTTGAGGGCTGCACTGTTCCTGTGGAACTCCCTTCCCTCCTCCGTTAGATGCTCACCCAGTCTCCACTCCTTCAAAAAAAAAAAAAAAAAATCATTTAAAACCCACTTCATGGGGCGGGGCCTGACAGTCAAGATGGCCGGCAGCACCTTCTAAGAGCTCCGGCACCAACGAGCAAAAGACAAGCGATTTATGATCAAAGCGACACCCAAAGAAGCTCGGGCTGACCGGACAACGAAGCAGGAACAAGCTGGGTCCATGGGGAAACTCGTCCCTTACAAACACGCTACGATACTGCCCAGCCATGCGGCCTAAATCTGAGCAGAGCCACGTGCATGGAGGAGGCGGCCGATCCCGCGGTACATAACAGGTGCCCAACAGAAAGCACACAACAGCCCTGTAACCTCCTCCCCCTTGGACCGGTGGGGGTTATCCCGGTCCTCACTGGGGCTACGTACAGAGACACCGCAGAACAAATTCAGGCAGCCACAGAAGGCACCAAAGTCAAAAGTCACAATCTCACCCACGCAACCCTGGGAGGGCATGGAGAGTCACTAACTGCCTCACTGAGCAAGCAGAGGCTGGATGCGATATTCGCCGAATTTTGGAGGAAACTGGCCCTGCACCAACTGCAGCAAGTGCAAGCAAAACAGGCTGACAGCTCACCTCAAAACCCACCAGGTACACACAAAATGGCTGCTGCGCCTGGTCCCCGGCTCCCTCGCAGCCAACCTCACTGCCCAACCCCGTGTCACACAGCAGACTGAAACTGGGACCACCAGGTCCTCTTCTGGGCTGGGAAACCACAAGGGCAAGCATCCCGCCCACACACCCATAAAGGTACACAGGGACCGGCAATCCCGAGGGCCCTACCGCAAGCCGCGGGGGAACGGCCTTCATCTTAACTTGGGCTGGGGCAACAGAGCAGCCACAGATCTATCACTGCACCAAGCACCACGCAGGGAACGACCCCGAAGCAGCGACCATGCAGACAGCAGCGCTACCGCTACCCGCGGCAATACACCAGCAAGGCATTCCGCCCCTCCCCATCGGAGAGGGACAAGGACTGTTGGCAGGCTCGGATAAGTGGCACACAATTGCAGGCCAAAGACTCAGGGGCCGGAGGGAAACCCCATATAACTCCTGGACTTGTGCTGCCTCACTGAACCCCCATTTCCAAGGTCTCTGTATCCCAGACATGGGAATCGACTGACTGTACACAAATCATTGACCAGTGAGGTCCCTACCAAGCAGGAGACTTCACTATTCATGCCTATAGTGCCAGTTTTCATGCAGTATTTGTATTTTCTTTATGCCTACTATCTTTTCAAGTGTAATTTTCTTGCTCGTACCAAGTGGAACTAAAGCTAGACAAATATACATATATCTTAAGTACCCTGTCAACTCAACCAAAAAGGGAACCCATTACCTCAACAAGTTCAGGGCTTTTATCATAGCATACCATCTTTGAAATCAGCTAGCCACTAGTGACCCTGAACCTGCTCTATGTTAAGCCTAACCTGTCTACGTAATCAGATGTTATATTCCTATAGTCTCAGCTACATATAAAATCGGTGACAGAGGCCAGTGGCATATCTCCAGTGTTAATTCTAGCATGTTATGCTGTGATTTTCTTATCTCTACCTCACTCCTACCTAGCATACACCACGCTACATGTAATACCTTACTATGCCTTACTACTAGGCCCAGACTGTTATGCCTAGGATATACCTAGCTAAATGTTTGGCGCACCTAACCAGCAAGTTCATATACATGTCTTAATTACACGTACCCAGGGATATATTTCTCCACTTACGTTTAAGCACACAGATGAGCGTAATTAACCCTATAACAGCAGTTACCTACTTTGTTAAACTTCTTAGTTATACCCACTGTTATGCTTACTCATGCATCACTCAAGATCCTTACATTTTCAAAAAAAATGTGCAGTAACATGAAGGTCATGCCTCTGTATATCTATTTCTTGGCTTGCTCGTGCAGTCATGACACAGCAAGCTTGTCTGTTATAATGTGAACAAAAATAAAAAAATTTATTAAAAAAACCCCACTTAATAAAAGCGTATCAATTAAACTGTTAATATCTCCCGACTGATTCCACTCCTGCAACTGTCATTAGTCTCAATGAGTGTCTGTACCTTAACTTTTGTGTAATTTTACCCCACTCCCTCTAGCATGTAAGCTCATTGAGCAAGGCCCTCAACCCCTCTGTTCCTGTGTGTCAAACTTGTCTGGTTACAACTACACGTTTGTTCGTTCACCCACTAAAGCGCTGTGGAATTTCTTGCCGCCATATAAATATAATGCCTCAAGATAATTTAAGATGTGGCAAAATGTCTAACTGGATAAAAAAAAAATTTTTTCAAAATGGACAATTAAATTGAACTTCACACCTGCTACATGTTGGTTTGCAAAGAATGGATAAGCATAACATTTTATAATACATATACTCTGGGCAACCAATATAATCATTGCAAAAAATTCAAAATGTTGGGGGGGTGGGGGCGGAGCCTGGAGGCAGAACGCAGCAGACATACATCATCTAAGCTCCACAGACCGGGACTGTTAATCTGCTAGACACCCAAGCCACTTGCCACTCAGGACGGATACCGCAATCTCCCAGACAAGGAGAAGCCGGTGTATCCAACAGTACCAAAACCTGCCAGTTTCAGACCCGGAATCCGGTCAATCAGGCTTGCAGCCTACTCAAAAGTGGATGGAGGAGAGACAGGCACCTCTCAGAGTCCTTCACCCGGCAGCTCCTAGCTGTTCCCATCTCCCTCCCCCCCCCCCGACAAGCACATCATCAAATGTGCAGACTCACTAAACTGACTACAGACACTTGAGCAGCAACTGGACAAGCTCCTCGATAAATTCTGGCAGAAAATGCAGAACAAGTGAGCAGCTGAACCCTATTAAACCACAATACTCACCATCTGAAAATCCATACCGAATAGCTGGCGGGAAGCAGAGACCGCACAAAGCCTCTAGGAAACGGAGACCAACAAAGCAGAGACTATAGCCCATAAAAGCCAATGCCCACATTTGCCTTCCTGGGATGAGGGCCCGAAAGGGAACCACCCTGATGCTTCTACCACATATCTGGACGGGACACCATCTTACAACCGCCTGGGATGTCACTTGTGGTGCTGAAAGTGACCGGAGCGGTGGGAAATGAATGAGGGCCCTTGAGAAGGCCTGGGGCCTGCGGAGTGTCCCAACTTGGATATGGTCCCTACACCTGCTTGCTGGCTGCTTCCCAATCATGGGCATAGGATGACTGCCTGACCACAGTAGCACAGTGTACATACCGAGACTTACAGGCAGCTCTAAATATGCTGATACATGTTGCCTCCTGACCGTTACAAGCACTAGCATCAATGAATACTCTGCTTTTGTTTTACTAGAATAAGTCTATTTCTTTAGTTCAGTGGTTTGTTTCCGATCATGCTTAGCTAGATGCAGACACGTCTCAAGCACCCAGTGGTTTACAACTCTTAAGCCTGCTCTATACAGGTCTTGTTTAATACTGCCGAGTATGCATGTTAATTAACTGTGCACCAACATAGGAAAACTCTCCCCCTTTTTCATTAATTCACTGATGTCTGCATAGCCTGATTTGTACCTTTGAGAAAATGTCCTGTTTCATTCTTTTTTCCTCTCCCTAATCACCCTTAAAATGTGCAGTCTCTACCTGGCTGATTAGGGAGATTACTGGGGCGCGTTTGCCCCCCTCCCAGTCTCCCCCCCCCCCCGGCCCTCCTGGCCCCCTCCCTGAGCTGGGCTTGTCCCTTCCCCCTCCCCTCATCTCTTACTGCTTTCCATCTCTCTCTCACTTTTCCTTAGGCCCTCTCACACAGAGGGCCTGATATATACAAATCCGGCATCCATAAGTGTAGAATGCACACATACACTCACAAACTCCCTCTCATCTAGTATTGAAGGTCGCACCATATGACAGCGAGTATTGGGGCAGGGGACGAAGGCTAGAAGTAATTTGACAACAGAAGTAGTGGGATGATAAAGGAAATAGCACAATCATCACAAATGCCCTAGTGACCACTGACCCCGGTAGCAACCCTGCACCCTATACCGATCCCACCATGTTAACGCTTACATAAAATTCAATTACATAATTAGGAGGTTGACCAGAATTACCAGACTTCTTTAAGAGACAAGTTCAATAGGTTAACTCAACTACTGCTTTGACTCCATGCCAAATGGATCAAGGAAGTCTGGTAATTCTGGTCAACCTCCTATTTAGGTAATTGGATTTTATGTAAGCGTTAACATGGTCGCAAATGGTGGGTGCAGGGTTGCTACCGGGGTCAGTGGGCACTAGGGCATTTGTGATGTTTGTGCTATTTCCTTTATCATCCCACTACGTCTGTTAAATTCCTTCTAGCAATACTCTGTCATATGGTCTGGCCTTCAATACTAGATGAGAGGGCATTTGTGAGCGTATGTGTATTCTACGCTTATGGATGCCGAATTTGTATATATCAGGCCCTCTGAGAGACAAACACACACACATATACATATATAAAAATTGAGATGGGCAGATTGGATCCAAAAAATTAAAGAATAAAAGGAAGACTGAGAATAACAAAAAATGAGAAGGGATGGCGAACAGAGAAGGGAGAACTAAGGGAAGATAGAGAAGGGGGAAGGAAAATGAAAAAAAAAATAGAATGAAAGAAAGAGGGGAAGAAGAGGAAGGAAAGGATAGAAAAGTAAAGGGAAAGGAAGAAAATGGAAAAAAAAAACGGAGAGAAATGAGAAGATACGATGAAGTTATGGTCTTAAATGTTTACATGTGACAAAAACCATATCTACAATCAGAACAAACCTTACAATTTTATTAGAGCAAAAAAATATATATATACACACAAAGAGAAAATGTTTTTGTATTTATGTCTACGCGAATGTGATATTTTATATTTTTGAAAATCAAATAAAATATACGGAGAGCAAAATAATGGGTCGCAAGAGAATACTTAGAACAAGCAGCAGCTGAAATAGCCTGCCCTTCAGTGGGTCCCCGCTCAGTTCTCAAGCTGGTTTTTGCTCATCTTGTGCCATTACAGAGAGAACATCTCTGAAACATATCAGACTGGTCCCACCCATACAGGCAGTCCAGATCCGAAATTCCAGCAAGTTCCCTCTGCACGAGAGATACAGCAACCCCAGACTATCGTTTCAGCCTTGTTAGGCATCAGTGAGGCATAGCTGATATCTCCCTAGGCACCGTGAACAAGGGGTCCATGTCTCCATAAGTTTAAAGGGTAATCCAGACTTGGACCCCTTGCTCACGGTGCCTAGAGAGATATCAGCTATGCCTCACTGATGATGCCTAACAAAGCTGAAACGATCGTCTGGGGTTGCGGGATCTCTCGTGCAGAGGGAACTTGCTGGCATTTCGGATCTGGACTGCCCATATGGGTGGGACCAGTCTGATCTGCTTCAGATATGTTCTTTCTGTAATGGCACAAGATGAGCTAAAACCAGCTTGAGTTCTGAGCGGGGACCCACCAAAGGGCAGGCTATTTCAGCTGCTGTCCGTTCTCAGAATACTCTTGCAACCTGTTTTTTTGCGCTCCAAATAAAAAATATATACATGAAAAAACACAAAAGTAAGACCAGTTACTCCGCATATAGGGACATGCTCAGTCCGATACATCTGAATACGGCATTTTATTCTATAAAAATCATTACCCTGACATTGCCCTCAGATCCATGTTGTTTGCGTGGTTTTTCTGGCTCAGCTCTGCTCCCATCAGGATATGCGTGCATGTACAGACATTTCCATCCAAAAGGACAGGTTCCTCGTCCTTGGTCAAAATACTTACAGGCTTTTTTCCTGAAGAGTGAAAGAAGAAGGCACAGATTTATTTACAAACCGGTAGATAGTCAAGAACATAGAATAATTACTTGTTACTAGTCAATGATCACTCACTTCAAGAAAAAAAAAAAAAGATAAAAAGAAAAAAAAAGTATTTAATTCATGTTGCCATAGAAATCGGACCTCCCGCTCAGCAGACAGATGTGGGTAGCTGGAGATGGAGAATTAAAGTAGCAATATCATGCCGTTCTTGCCTTTTCTCAATTGCTTTCTCTTCCCTACTCAGTCTTTATTTTCTATTTTTCAGCTATTTCCAACTAATAACATAAGGCGAAGTAGGGACTTTGTTTTGTGTATTTTTTTACTCAGTCTTACCTTCTTAGACACAAGGAGGAGCCTGAGTAAGCTCCACTTCCTGTGTCTAGTAAGTTTTGCCCAGACTACCTCTTTCCTCCATATTCTTGTGTTGCCTACATTCGAACCTTTCCAGACATCCTATAAAACACTTGGGAGTCGCCAAAATGACCATTTTGTCCGAACCAAATTTTTACAGTTCGTCCATTACAGTTTGGATAAAATTCCAATCCAAGCCACTGCTGCATCTTGCAGCCACTTATTAGATCAGTCCCTAAATTAGTACTCTTGTGGGATTGCCATATTTAAGGGTACCAAAAATGGCAATCCCACAAGTATAAGGGGGCTATCTACTAAAAACCTGAAAGACCAAGATTTCAAAAAGACCTTCCTTTTTCAATTATAGTCTTGCACCCAGCTTTACTAGTACCAAGTAAAAAAATAAATACTCTATTAGTAAATAAGCAAGATTAAAGATTAAAAAATGTAAAATATTAAAACTAGTACGGAGCATGGGGCATGTAGCCGTGATCAGCCAGTAAATATAAAAAACCAACACATGCAACCACTAAAACACTCTGCCCCAAATCCCCATGGTGCACTTACCCCATCCCTTGTTTAAATGCTTCAATCAGCTCATTTTTCTTACTTTGGTCTTCTACCCAATATACGCTCGGGATCACAAACTCAGATATTACACGGCACTCTGGACAAGATCTAAAGACAAAAAAAAAAAAAATTTTTTAGAGAAGAGTCAATAAATATTTACAATTTCCCTCCAAACGCTCATAACGCTGAATTCTGTTTGTTACAGAAATTGTATCAAATGATTTGTTTGTAAGCAAATAGTTTTTTCTCTCCCAATAAACCAGTTTATGCTGATATTTACCCAAAGACCATGAATAAGCATGTTTATACAGTGAAAACAATTAAATAATTTAAAGGGTACTGTAATCTCAATTTGTTGTAGCAATCTTACAAATGTCCTACAACCTAGCTGTAATTTCAATGCAGTCTGGTTTACATGATGAACAGAGCACTGTAATTCAGGTAACCTGTATAGTTGAAGGAACACTCCACTGCCTAAACTGACAAAAAGCAGAAAATCACTCTTTAGTAGATATACCCCAGAGAATACATGATTTTTTCATGCAGGTATTCATTAAGGGTATATTTTAAAACTGCTTGCAAAGGCTGCAGATCTTCTGAACTGCAGCCTTTGCAAGCACTCCCTTTTCTACCCCCAGAAGAGACTTTCAGTCTCGTCATGGGGAAATAACCAGAGGAGCTGTTCGGAGGCCAAAAACAAGATTAATTAGGACATAAAAACTAAACTCAACGCGTTTCATGCCTGACGGAAGAGGCAATATAAAATGCCCCATGAACATTATGCCGACTATCTGAAGAGTGGTTTGAACAGTGAAGTTTTCGTAGTAAGAGCTTTGTTTTAAATGGCACAATTAATTTTGTATTTATTTTATCTTGCCTTAGCAACATACTTTGAAGAAGCAACATTCTATTATCGGAGCACGTGCACTTTAAAGGGACACTATAGTCACCAGAACCACTACGGCTTATTGAATATGTTCTGTGAGTGGAATCATTACCTTCAGGCTTTTTGCTGCAAACACCGTCTTTTCACAGAAAAAGCAGTGTTTACATTACAGCAGGCCTGTCCAACCTGCGGCCCCCCCGATGTTGATGAACTACAACTCCCATGATTCTTTCAATTAAACATGTAGCCATGGAATCATGGGAGTTGTAGTTCATCAACATCTGGGGGCCGCAGGTTGGACAGTCCTGCATTACAGCCTTGTGATAACGTCACAGGTCACTCCTTAGATAGCTGTTAGAGATCCTTCCTGGGTCATGGCTGCCTAAAATGCATCCAAACATTCAGTATCTCCTCCCTCTGCATGCAGACACTGAACTTTGCTCAGAGATCCATTGATTCAATTCATCTCTGAGGAGATGCTGATTGGCCAGGGCCGTGTTTGAATCATGCTGGCTCTGCCCCGATCTGCCTCTTTGTCAGTCTCAGCCAATCCTATGGCATTCTGATTGGATCAGGCTACCACTTCTGCTGATGTCAGCAGGCAATGGGCAGGTCTAGAGGAAACTGAGCCAGAGCCTCCATACTTGAATACTAGTAAGATTTTACATTTTTTAGTGAGGAATGGGGGGACCAGGGTGGCTAGATGGTGGTTTTAACCCTATAGGGTCAGGAATACAGGTGTTCCTGACCCTATAGTGCTCCTTTAACATTTTGAGTGGATTCCTTTGATTTAGGTTTTATGAGCCTGCTTTATGTTTTAATCTTGTAAGTATGTCACAATAAAGCAGCTAAGTGGTTTTAGAAGGTGTTGCACTATGTAATTTTATCATTTCTTTTACATTTAACTGAGTACTTAGAAGGTGTTACACATCCAGAGTTGATGTATCATGTGATGGGCTTATAAATTCACCAAAGATTGAGAGTAACTTTGAATCAAATTCATGTATGGTGGACCTACAGTACAGCCCTATTTTATATGTTAGACTGTATAGCTACAAAAAATAAAACCAAGCATTTTTTGACACCATAGTACTCATGTGGCATTTTAGGTTATTGGCCACTTCGATTGCGCTGAAAATAATTTTACTCACCCTTTCTCACACTCTGGTCTAGCTGCGGCTGGCCCTGCCTCCATGGATGAAGTCTTGATCTCAGCCAATCCCTTAGGAGGGCTATTGCGCATTTACAGAAAAACACTGCACAGTGCTACTCAGCATTTCCTCAGATTAATTGAATCAATGCATCTAGTTAGGGAAGATTCAGCATCATGGAGACACTAAACGCAAGTGCAGCACATCTAGTGACCTTTTATCTAGTAAGGCATCATTTACTTTAAATAAATAGGCCTGCAGGGACCGGCTATAGACATCAAAACCACTAAATTAAGCTGTAATGGTTCTGTGAGTATAGGGTTTCTTTAAAGAGAACCAAACATTAAGTTTTTCCCCCTGCATATGTTCCAATTGAGCTTCTCCTGGTTTTTAAGGATACTTCCCTATTCTCCAGCTGTTCGTGCCCAGATGATCATGCCTTTACTGGGAGTAAAGTATCTCCTGGGCACTGCCTCACTGTTGGAATGCCTCAAATGATTTCACCAATGCCTGGCACACCACTTCGGACGTGCATGTGAGGTCCCAGTGCTAAAGCTGGAACAAATGTTGATAGTGTGTCTGCCAGGGAGGGTGAGGAAAAGTCCTACAATATTGGCAAATCATGTATTTGCTAGCATAATGTATAGATTAAAAATACAAATAGAATCTAATGCTGCAACTGATAAATTACAGTACAGGTATCCTTTAACTGAGTGAGCAGAAAAGGAAGAGGAAGTGATGGAATAACCTGGCCTTTTATGTCCTATGATGCAACCTGATCACAGGAGTTTGATATAGTGCATACAAAAGTAGGGTGAAACAAAAAATTCTAATGGGAAGTACTTACTTTATGACAGGATTGTCAAAATGTTTGGCACATCGCCACTGTCTGATGCAGGCCAAGCAATAGGTGTGATTGCAGTTTGAGAGGATCCCAAATCTCCTTTCAGAAGCGGATGATTTTTCGTACACAACTTCCATACAGATGCTGCATACCTTCTCCTGACTTGCCTGAAACGCAAATGCTTTCTCCATCTCGTGTTCGAAATTTGCCATACACAACTATTAAAAGGATGAAAACATCAGGTCACAGATGGACTGACACAAAACAGGTTAATACACAGCTAGAGCATACACGGTATTTACAAGCTGCAACTTCTACATGTAATTTACAGATAGTCACCTTTTCATGTGCTTTCCTCTGTTCCTGGTCATAGGGATGAAGAACTTGCAGCCCACAGATGTCACACAGTTCCCCATGGAGATATGGGCATTCTTCACCATAATGACACGTTCCTGCTGCAGCATAAGGGCAAAGCTGTTCAGTATCCTCAGGAAGTGACTGGGCAAGGTCTACCTCTTCAAGACCTGTGCAAATCGCTTCCAGGTAAGAGTGTGGCTTCACTTCCCCATCAGTCCCGTGCATGTCATTACTGTGCTCTGGGTTGGGTGCTGGATTTGATCGTGACTTTTCATCAGTGATTACACAAAGATCTGGATGGGTAGGAAAGAGCACTTTATCCTCCAATCAATAAGCAAATTGTTTCTGTAAAGTGTATTCTCAGTGGGAAGGATTTCAGACCCTCTTACACAAACAAAGAGGTTACATACCCTCCCGTTCTTTAAAAGGGACACTACAGGCACCCAGGTCACTTCATCTCATTGAATTTGTTTTGGTTCAGTGTTCCTGTTCCCTTAACCCTGCAATGTAAAACAGTGATGCTTTAGAGAAACTGCAATGTTTACATTGCAGTGTTAAGACTGTCTCTAGTGGCTGTCTACCAGACACTAGAGGCACTTCCAGCAGTTTCACAGAGTTTAACTCCATGAAACAAGTATTACTTTTGTAGACCAACAAGTTTAGTAGATTAAAATGGCTACTAAAAGACTGACTAAAACTAAATTGAAATTTGCCGCCAAAATTACCACTGGATAGAGGGGCTGTGGTATGGGCAAAAAAGCCAGACCAGGGCTTGGGAGAGAGGGGGTGGGAGGACACAGACGTCATGCAGTATTACACTAGTAAGGACTGTTTTCATGCCGGTACAAAAGTCAGAAATAGTGAGCACAGCATGCAGCTCTTTACATGAGGAACACATCCTGAAAGTGTCTCCCTTCATTCCATTTTTATCACTGCTGTACGCCATATCCCCATAACCCAGCAATGTAAAACTGCCATTCTGCAGGGTCGGCAATATTTACACTGCAAGGTTTCGATTCCTAAAAATGACAAGAGATACATTCATCCAATCAGACGAGCAATCTCTATGAGACCATTCTATCCATCGATAAAAATTCTTCTCTGCACTTTTATAAACTAGCATTAAAATGACATACTCCACACATCTACAGCATTTCAGCAAGCTTTAAGGGTAAAATCCAAATGTAGAAAATGCTGCACACACTAATAAAGTCTCTTAACTACTTATATTATAAAACACAATGGCATTTAAAAAAAATATTCCTCCAACTCACACACTTACAGTATTTATTTTCCTGCCATCCTATAAGAGTGATGATCTCTAGCATGTACTATATTTACTTAGCAATGTTATTTGAACATAGAATGCTTCATGTATTAGATTTGTTTGGGGGGGGGTGTACTTTTAAATGTGTAGCTTTCCTTTAGAATATTTTAACTTTGATACAGGTTTTACTCATGAAGTGATTTTATATAGCACCCTGTTACTTAATTTTTTTGTATGATAGAATGTTGCATGCCCAACTTAAAGGGACACTTTCTAACCTCAAGGGGTTAAAGTGTTTTCAAAATGTTTAACCCAAATGTTGCCTCCAGCAGTGATGTCCACTCCCCACAAGCGGCATCTGACTTCTGAATTTTCAGATTCAGGAAGCGTGGAGTGCTGCCTAGTGGCTGAGAGTGGTCAGCTGACACTCTCAACCAGTTAGTCACTTCATTCACAAAACTGACTTAGAAAGAAATTTATTTTCCAAGTCAATTTTGTGAATGGCATTTAAACCCTGATGGGCTGAGGGCATCAGCCAATTAGCGACACCTCTGTTTGGCGGTACGCCACACTTCCTGAATCTGAAGAGTCAAAAGTCTGATGCAGTCTGGAAACTGCAAGGTTTAACCCCAAAGTTGTCTCCAGTGGAGACAACAACTGGGTTAAACCGTTTGAGAATTAAATCCCTAAAAGTAAGAGTGCCACTGTGGGCCTCCTGCCACCATAACTTCCTTAAGAGGAAATTGTTTTGGTACCTGGAGTGTCCCTTTAAATACACCAATCTTTTCTGTGTACAACAAAACCATTTGTGGTTAAATACATCAGTAAATGTTGCAGATTTTTAAAATCATTCGATCAAACCTTTTCCCACTACAGATCACCCTCTTGTCATTTAATGTGCTAAAGATCCCACCGTGGACAGCATAGTAAATCCCAACATTTAGAAGTGTTCCTCCCTACAAATTAATATTTCTTAACATACAACATACTCACTGCGGTCTCGAAGAACAATAGATTTCTTCTCTCGTCGTAAAGGGGTACTTTTGGTGACAGGTGCAGTGGTTTCTGTTGGGGGAGGCACTGGAGGAATATCTGGGGCTGCAGGTGAGGCATCTTGAGTAAAATAAACTGGAGAAGACCCCAAAGGTTTCACATGATCATATCTTTGCAAAAACGTACAAAAAAGAAATTACTAGTGTGCCATAGGTAGATTCATTAACAAGTTACAGAGTAGATAAAATTAAATGAGTAATATACTAAAAAAGTGTCCATGTACAGCCCATCATACACACTACACATGTATACCTTAGATCTTTAGCAATCACTCTTTAGAGCAGAGCAGTCACTCAGGCCATTTTGACATGCATAGCTGCAGAGACCCAACTAAGTCCATCTCTCCGTCTTTTGCATACCCAAATAAACCCACCACCCACATGGAGTCCATCCCTCCGTCCATTACACACCCATGAAACCCACCATCCACATGGAGTCCATCCCTCCGTCCATTATACACCCAAATAAAACCCACCACCCTCAAGGAGTCCAACCCTCCGTCCATAAAACCACCCAGTGTCCTACCCCCCACCCAAAGCAAATTGTTCATAATGCCCACATTGTCCTTAGAATAATACATAAACAAGAAACCCAAGCAATACCAAATAAACCCACCCGTGCATAAATAACATAGTAACATAAGAACATAACCATTACCAAAATCACATCATAACCATAACCTTACCCTAACTATACTACACTACAACCCGCACATAGAGGAAGGTACTCGTCTGCTAAATGTGGCAGCCTTCCATGAAAAGAAAACCGTTTCAAAAATCTAAGGGGGAAAAGGTGAAGACAGAGTCTGAATTCCCTTCACCAAGACAAAGGCTTCTATGGAACGATTCAAGGCGGGAGGACCTTGAGATTTCGCCACAAACGCTGCCAATTGGAAGGATCCATAGAGGCCCTTTCGGTGTTATAGATCCCGCGCACCGCCCTGAGAATATCTGCTACCACCACCTGACAGGAAAGGTCTTTGCGCTGAAGGGATACCAGACACTGCCATCCAAGTGTGATACTTAACTACCGAACTGACTACGTAAAGGGTGCTCAAATTAAAGGCCCTCCCCCGTGAGTTGGATGTCCCGTAGGCCCACTCCGCGTAAGTCCAGCGGGATAAGCAGGGGATGCCCAAGACGGCTGAGACCTCTTTGCAGAAATGTACGTTAAAGTGGCACTCGAGGAGGAAGTGGTCCATGGACTCCACTTCCCCGGAACATTCCACCCGAGGACAACCGTTATGTTCCTGTACTTCAAGTTCCCTCGAACGTAAAGTCTACCGTGGAAGGAGAGAAACGCCAAGTCTCGGAATTTCTCCGGAAGGCGCCTGGAGTTGATGTTTTTCCAACCCCGAGGCGAGAGTACTTGGCGGGCAGTCCTTCAAAGCAAGCTGAATGCCAAAGTGGGTGGCCAGGACCCTCCCGTCGAGAACCCTCTTGGGAGAATCCCGAACCTCTTCCACTGTGACGTTCCACCTGCGGAGAATCCGCACTCCCTCGATGACCGAAGTCAGGAGATAGCTGGAATGCCGAACTTTCATGCCGCGAAACCAGTCCACCAGGAAAGGTGCGACCCACTCCCTGAACATACATACCCAGCCAGGCTGCTCGTCCTTCAGGAGAGCCCCGAAGTTCCTTTTCAGGAAGGTGTTAGTAAAGAAGACGATGGGGTTGACCATGGCCAGACCTCGGCCTTTCTGGCCAAGGGGGTCTTACCTCTCTCTTTATGAGGTTTAGTCTGTTCCCCCACAACATGCTGAAGAACAGCGCAAACATCCGAGCATGGAGGGACCTGGGCAAAAGGAAGATGTTACTGACATAGCCGAATACGGTCAGAACATAGGTTTTGATCAGTTTCACCCGTTCTCTGTACGTCAGTTTCCACCTGTGGCTCTCCTCCACCTTGCTGGAAGCTTTGGCAAGCCGTTCGGACCAGTTCCTGAGAGCCAGATCCCCTGGTCCGAACATCATCCCCAAGATTTTAATTTCAGACTGGGCCCGCGGGAAACCGTCTGGAAAGGGAACTGGTCCTCCTCCTTCCCGCCCCAGAAAACTCCACTCTTGTTCCTGTTGATACGAGAGGTTGAAGCGGCAAAATACGCTAGGATTAAATCATCCACCTCCGTGGCCTCCCGTGTGTCGGAGACCACAATGGAGATGTCATCTGCGTAGGCACCAACCGTAAAGGCCTCTCAGGAGCCCTGGCCACTCCCTGCAACATGCTCGCCTCGACCCTTCGGATGAAGGTATCGACTGCAAACACGTACAGGAGCAGGCTGAGAGGACAGCCTTGCCGGACCCCGGATCGGATCCTAAACGTCCTGCCCCTCCACCCGTTCACAAGAGCGAAGCTTTCGGCCCCTCTGTACAAGGTGATGACCCAATTGATGAATTTCCCTGGCAAGCCATACTTTCGCAAGACTGACCACAGATAACGGTGATCGACCCGATCAAAAGCCTTGGACTGATCAAGTGCCAGAAGGTATATCCCCCTTCCTCCGGCCCTGCACTTCGAGAGCTTCCCTGACCTCGAAAACGGCATCGAAGACAGTTCGTCCCCCGATTGTACAGTACTGGGAGGTGGATAGGATACGCCTCGCTAGGCCCTGTACCCGTTTCATCAAAAATTTTGCCAGGACCTTCCGGTCAACATTTAACAGGGATATAGGGCGCCAGTTCCCCACATCCGCTGTGTCGAGCACGTTCGGCTTGGTCAGCAAGATCAGAGCAGAAGTCCTCATCGAGGGTGGCAATAATCCTCGAGCCAAGCTCTCATTAAACACCTCGGTTAAATGAGGAGCCAAGAGGTCGTAGAACTGTTAGTAAAACTCAGCCGTCAGCCCATCAGGACCTGGCGACTTTACACTTGTTCTGCTGATGGATACTCTCTGTGACCTCTTCTATAGTGATCTCGCTATGCTCGGGGAGGGTGAGCTCGCTTAAGAAGTTATCAACCTCTCTCCCACGTGATGTTCCCCCCCCTCGGCACATTGGGGGCTGCCCTTACCGAGGAGCTCAATATAGTAGTCGCGGACCACCTTCAGAATCCCGCGAGGAGACTCCTCGAGGATGCCGTCGGTGCCCCGCAGACCAGAGATAGTCTTGGTACCTTCCTTCCGCTTGCAACTCAGATGAGGATCGGGCGAGTGGTAAGACCCATGATCCCTCTCCTTTACAAGGGAGGCGTACCTATCATACTGATAACTCCTCATCAGGGCTTTGACTGCCGCAATGTCCTCAGGGTCACCTACCTGCGAGATCAAGACATCCAACCTCCCAAGCAAGCTCAGATACATCTTGTACCTAGAGGACTGCATGTTTCGGGCAAGACTGCGAAACAGCCCTCGAGTTCTGGCCTTCACCATCTCCCACCACTCAGACTTCGTTTGGCCTAAATCGACCAATGTCATCTGATCGTGAAAGAATTCCATGAAGGCTTGCTGAACCCTCTGTTCCACCAGGAGGTCTGAATTTAGCCGCAAGATCCCTCTACCTTTAGGTGGGGTACTATGGACGTTCAAGTCGCAAGATAAAATGTGATGTCGGAGAACTCCACCGGCGTAAGCACGGGTGCTGCCACCGGGAAATTCTCCTTAAAGAAAAACCTATCTATCCTACTCTGACAGCTACCTCGGTGATACATGTACCCACCCGTGGGATTGGGAGTGTGGTGAAGGTACACATCGACCAATCCAGCCTGACTAACCATCTTATTCAAAAAATGCAGTCATACCCCAGCCTCTGAATGGCGCCTCTCCTGTCTTGAGGCCTAGTAATGGTGTTGAAATCACCGCCAAACAGGAGTTGCTGGGATGTATAAAGGTAAGGCTCTATCTCACTAAACAGGCGCTTCCTCTCCCACTTTGTTTGGGGGCCATAGATGTTAATCATCCTGAGAGGTTGCCTGCCCAGTGAGACGTCTAAAACCACACAACGTCCTTTCTGCAACTCAATAACCCTGTTGATGTAAACATCAACTTCCTTAAATAGGATGGCGATTCCCCCATATCTCTCTGTGGCTAGAGAGAAGTAGGAGGGTCCCCATCTCCAGTCCCGCTTTGCAGCGTGCAGGGCCGCGAGGGTTTCCAGCCGGGTCTCCTGTACTAAGAGGACATTGTACGGAGCCCGGCTGAGGTGGTCGTAAACCAGAAAGCGGGCCCTGCTGGACATAATGCTGTTAACATTCACCGTAGCCACAGAGAGTACAGGAAATGTCGCCATAAGGGTATTAAGCATAAGGAGATTTTCCCTTCCTTCTGTGATCCCCCTCCTCCTCCGTGTCGGAGCAGTACCTCTTCACTGAGACTCCGGGATACAGCGGCCCGTCGTCTCTCAGAGGCACCTCCTGTCCGACCTCAACCTCTGCCCCCACCTCGGGGAGGTTCGCCATCTCCTCCTCGAGCTCACAGTCGGCCCAGCTGGAAGACAGCGCCTCGTACCTGTTAGATACGGGCACTGGGGCCTCCTGCTAGCACGAAGAGGAGGAAGACCCCTTTGCCTTACCGCCCTTAGAAGTGGCATCCCCCCTTTCGGGGGTTTCGCCGCAGGGGGTTCGGCAGTCGTCCGGGGCGCGGGCAGCGCCGAGGCCTTGGAGGGAAGGGGATGCTTTCCCTTCCTCACCGTGCTCCACTCTAGGGACTGTGCATCTAAGGACTTTCCAGTGGGGATAACCTTCACCGTGGAGGGTTTAGGAGGGGGGCCTAGGGGGAGCCATAATGGCTGTGGAGGACATGCTAACTCTTTACACTTTTCGTGAGGGGATGTGAACTAGTTGCCACCCCAGGGTCTCGAGATGGTACTGAGACCGAGGGGAGGATGGGCTGTTGCTGGGGCAGGGAGACCCCAGTGCCAGAAATGGGCACCGTAGATGACTTCGCTACCTGAACCCCTAACCCAGCAGAGTCCACCTCCTCCATCTCCACCGGTTCCTGACTCCAGATGGACTCTACGTTATGCTGGGCTTCGGGGCAGGTGCGGTACGCATGTCCCATCCCTGAACACAGATGGCACCGGATCTCCCCGCAGGTGTCCCGGAGGTGCCCCACAGCGCCGCACATAGTGCACTTCAGGACCGTACAGGCATTATTGAAATGCCTGTACGATCCGCACTTATGGCACACCCTGGGCTGACCAGGGTAAGAACAGGATACCCGGTCAGCCCCGATGAAGAAGCTATTTGGCATATGCTGTGTGACACCTCTAATCTCCCACAGCAACACAGAAACAGTCCACCCGCCTGTCCATATCCCATCATCATCTAAGATCTTAACAGGGGGGGGATTTAACATCCCCAAACCTCTTGGTCCATATGAGTATATCCGCTATGAGGATGGACTCATTCCTCACCAGGAAGGTAACCTTAAGACCCTGGCGAGAAATGGCCACAGCGGAGAATCCTGCCCACTTTGAGCCCTGTGCAGACCTGGCCGCCTCCCATCCAGCCCAGAAGCGATCCAGGAGCTGCGACGTCATAAAGGAGACGTCGAACTCCTGGGTGCCCAAGGCATGGATGAGCGCGTACAGGTCCACGGGCGCAAACCCCATATCCTTAAGACGAGCCACCAGCCACCTTCTGTCAGGCACCTGGGTCTCACCCCCACAGACAAGCCGTACTACGTTCTTCCTGTTCCCAAAGGAAACCTGAGGACGCGCAGCAGGCCCGCCCGCCGAGAGGCGAGGTGGCCCAGATGCCCAAGCATTGGGCACGCTGGGACCCGCCACCTGGGAAAGGGTGGGGCGGATTCCCCCCGCAGGACCAGTAGAGGTCTCGGTCACACCGGGACCCGGGGCGGCAACTTGGGAGTGCCTAAGGGGAACCTGTGTACCTACTTGTGCATCAATAACTTTATGTACAGTTTTATTTACATCATTATCCATAACTTTGGCACCCTTTGCCAGGGTGCTTGTGCCCATCACCTGTGCACCAGCATGAAAACCAGGGAGGGGGGCAACATAACCGGGGAGAGTACAGACAATGGGGGGTAGCTGGACCAGGGAGGGCACCAGCGGAGACGGGGAGGGCACCAGATGAATTAGGGGGAATAACAGAACCCATTAATTAAATCAGGGGGGGCAATTAAACTAGGGGGGACACCAACAGAACCAGGGGGGCAAATGTTACTAAACGGAGTGAACCTGGCTGTGGACTTTTAATTTTAGGTCAGTGGGTCCCTTTAAATTAGACATATTAACACTACTATTCAAACTCCCATCACCCCCAGCCATCCCCAAACCACCAGTGGGGCCAAATTGCAAAGTATTAACACATTCCTTACCTCCACCGGTGGTCCTCACAGGTAGGATGGCTGGCGGGGCATGATGGGAGTCACCCATACCCGTGGCACCGTAAAAAACGGTACCCACAGCACCGGCACCACAGGCACTAGCCAAAACATACAGGGGGACACATTGGGAGACAGACTGGGTGACATACTGGAACACTGATTGGGAAGCAGGCTGGGAAACAAGCAGGGGAGGAGACTCACAGGGGGAAATAATTGGAGCACTTACTGGTGCAGGAGCAGAGAGAGGAGGGCCATTACATTGTATACTCCCTTGCTGCTCAGTCCCAGCTACTTCAGCAGCCTCCATGGAAGGTCCAACAGCGCCGCCATTCCCCCCCACCGGGCCGCTCCGCTTCAGGAGCAGTCCCTCTGGGGGGTTCGGTGGCACTATCTTCCCCCACCAGGCCGCACAGCGCCGGGAACTGAGGCAGCACCTTTCATAGAGCAACGGCTTTCCACATCACCCTGCTCCAGACGGAACCCAGCGGTGCCATCCTGCCCAGCAGCCGCCTGAGGACAGGAGGCAGAGGGTCCAGCCACACCGGAGGACGCAGCCACATTGAGAGGAAGGTCAGAGGGAAGGAAGGGAGTGGGAAGGGCCCCTCCATGGGATCACCGGTACCCACCACAGTACCGGCAGGGATGGTCTCCCTGTCACCATGGAGGGCGGTGGGGGGCCCAGGTACTTCCACAGAGGCAGGGCGGGCAGACTCCTGGGGCACACAGGTGTTGCCACCTGTGGGGTTAGTATCCCTGGCCCCAGGCGTCTGCAAGGCCGGGAAGGCCTCCTCATGGTATACAAACTCGGCAGGGGAGCACTCACCCTCCTCCGTGGAATCTCCAGACCCCCTGACAGGGGTCTCAGGCTGACGCTGGGCGATGTTCTTTCTCTTCTTTTTTCTTTCCTTTTCCAACGGAGCCCTCCCCAAGCTCGTCACCAAACCTGAGGAGAGACTCCTTAATCATCCCTCGACCCCTGTCCTGCACGTTTCAGCTTCCACTCTTCTCCCTTCTGTCCTTACCATTCTGCTTCGCTGTCTCTCTCTGGCCTTCCTCTCTGTCTCAGCTGCGCCCTCCGGTGTGGTAAGGGTGGAGACACATTGCACCCCAGGTGAGTGATGGGAGTCAGCATCAGAGTCCCTGCTGGACTCCTCAACTGGGGACATGTCCTTCCTACCCCCAAGGGCCCTCTGCCTCCTGGATTGCGCTGCCTCCTTGGCCCGCTGTTGCAGGATGGACTGGATGTCTGCCATCTTGGATTCGGTTTGGAGCAGGGTGTAGGAAAGCCACTGCTCCTCCAGCTTTTTCTGGGCTATAATGGCCCTCACAGGACCTCTTTTGTGGTTAGAGGTCCTGCTGTATTTCTCTCTCCTCTCCTTGAGCTCTGCCTGGACCCCAGCAAGGCCCGCATCCGCCTCGGCATGCTGGGCCTTCAGGGACACAAGGAGACCCCGGAGCCTGTCAGAAGGTAGCCCTCTGCATGCCCTAGCCTCAACCCCCTCACCCTTTGCAGCCGCAGCATAGGTGAGGGAGGCCTGAGGGGCCTCGCTGGTACCAACCACCTAGGGGGGGTCTCAGGGACTACCTCCTCCCCGGGACACTCCTGCATCCAGTGACAGGGGGGGGGGGCCGCTCCAGGAAGTGGAGGCGGTCGCTGGCAAGTTCCTTGCAATCAGCCAGCAACCCAGAGAGCAGCTGGATATCGGCCCTGGTATGGGCCGTGGCTCCCTGGAGGACCCCCACTCCCTTCTTCCAAGCAGCAAGCTTGCTTGCCATCCCCCCGCCAGTTCTTCCAACTGGGTAACTTGCGGTCTTACTTGCCGGGAGAGGGCCTGGTGTTCAGTCCAGGACAGGCTCCTGGTATCCACTTTACCTTCCCCAAAGGGCAGACTTTCTTGCAGTTTGTCTAGCTTGACCTTCCATCCCCAGGCTGGGGAGGAAGGCCCAAGGGCCATGCTTCCTTAGGCCCAGGCAGAGCCCCCAAGTCCAGTAAGCTTCCAAGCCCAAAATCAGTGCAGGGAACCAGGGGGAAAAAAAACTGATAACCACCTCAAACAAAACCTCCACAGCAGGAGCTGTTAGATAACTTATTCTGCAGGGAGAAAATGAAGAGAAAATCTACAAAGCTCTCCAAGAACGCTTGTTGGTACCACAACATTCAATCTGCAAAATCTAACCTAGTATTTTAAATTGTTGCACAATTGGATTGTCATGTAGATGAGGAAATAAAATGTGGTTAAAGTGTAACCTGAATCTAATGCAGTCCACTCCAAGAACATTGGCACAGTTATTTTATTACCTGCAGCGGGAGCCATAGGTGCACAGGCCCTTCTGGTAAAACCGGCAGATAGTAGATGGTTTACTTGCAGTTAGATCATGGGAAAACAGGCATCTTGATCCTTCACGGCAAACGCCATGTATGAAATATCTACAGACACCAATAAAATTTGCAGGTTACTTTTACTTTGAAAACCCCACTGATCTAATAATATTACTTATAACAACCTAACATCACCATAGCAAATTGTAGACATAAAACTCATATTGACAGTTCATGATAAAGATCATACTGAAAACAGTTACAACAAAATAAAAAAAACTAAAAAAAAAAAAAAATTAAAAAAAGTGAAATCTAACCAGTGGGGGTGGCGGGGGAGCACTTTCTCTGCCCACAGATGACAGAGAAAGTGAATCCCTGGGGAAACAACATGCCAGCTTGAGGTATTGAGGGCAAGACTGAAAACATGGATAGTATATGAATAATATAAAAAAAGAAGGAAACAAACATATCTGGGGCAATAACATGGTCAGTAAAACAATATAATTAAAAACCCCAGATGCTCTTCATGCTCTATTGTATGTAACCATAACCTGCCCTGTTACCCCGGATCATAACACTGACCCCCACCCACCTGCAGTGCACTTACCGGTGACCCTCAGCTCTCTCTATAAACTCCACATTGTGTCTCTGCCCCCCATAGCTATACACAGTGATTGTGGCCCCGCCAGTACCTGCAGGTCACGTGTTTGCTGCTCATGGTGGTGCTCTGTCTCACGTCACCCGTGTTATTGTCCCACGCCAGGTCTCCCCGTGAATGCACGCCCACTGTGAGTTCGCCGCCGCGTGCACCGCGATCAGCCCTCCGGTCGGGAACACGAGGCGAGGACATTCTGCCCGCCCTGAAACAGGAGTCCGGGAGATCCTGCACACAGAGCTGTGGGGGGTATCCACCCGGCGGTACTCCCCACTATTTATATGTTTACTGGCTGAACCGGCTGCCAGACCCACTGCATTATTAGAAGATTGAAACCCTGCATTGTGGGAGATTCTGCTGGTCTAATTGCAAGACCCTACAATCGTTGTCTATATAGGACCTTGAACTCCTGCAGTGTTGAGATTGCTTAGACGTGGGAGACCATCAGGTTTTTTTTTGTTTTTTTTATACTAAAGTGGAATTCAAAGTAAATTTCAAGTTTAAAGGAACACTATAGTGTTAGGAATACAAAACTGTTTTCTTAACCCTAAAGTGCCTCCATGGGGTGGTAATTAAAGGGGTTAAAAACCCTTTATTTAGTAACATGATTCCTGCCACACCCACATTATCAATCCTTTCCTATGATTATTTTGAAGACGCTGGACATCCAACATCATTTCATGGAGTTAAGTGCTGTAAAAAGCCAGAACGCACCTCTAGTTGTTGTTGAAAGACACAGTTCCCCTTTAACTCTGCGATGTAAACATTGCAGGTTCTATGAGACTGCAATGTTTTACCATGCAGGGTTACAGGGACAGGGGTACTTCACACAGATCACTTCAATGAGTGGTCCTTTACAGACCAAAGTGGCCAAACCCGAAGCATAGTTGATTTGGAGAACTTTTCTAGTTCAGCTTTACTGGGACACTATAGTCATTTGAATTTAATGTAGTGGTTCTGGTGCCTATAGCCTGTCCCTGCAGGCTTTTCAATGTAAACATTTCCTTTTCAGAGAAAAGTAACACCTGTAGTGGCAATAACTCAGATGGCCACTAGAGTGGCTTCTTATATCAGTGCTGCACTGTGTACAGCACCTGTGTTCAGGATCTCCATTAATCAGTTCACGAGGAGATGCTGATTGGTGCAGCACAACATTTTCCTGTGCATGGATTGGCTGAGATTGTCAAGATTGATGATGGAAGCGGGACCAGCCGTGGTGAGACCGGTGGAGAAAAGATAAATTGTATCTAAAATCAGAGGGGGGCACCGGATGGTGGGGCACAGGCACCCCACACAGTTAAGCCGACCTACAGCTAATTCGGCATACTTCTGCTGTGGCAGTGTCACCAGAAGCAAAGGGGTAGGGAATTTTCACGGGTGTAAAGGATAGGAGCCTATGTCCCTCCATCTTGTCTCACTACGCTAGTTTTAGTTATTGTGCGCGTGCAGCAGATAGCAAAGTCAGTCAGGGAAATATGATAAAACATTGGTCCTGGCATCAGCATACAGTGACAAGCTATCACAGTGTTCTGATGCTTATCAGCTCATGCAGCACTGAGAATTGTACCCAAAATAGGGACTGTCCTTCCTAAACAGGGATAGTTGGGAGATATGACTAAGGGTTTTGAAAGATAAGCACGTTAATGAATTGATTAGAAGCAATGTGGGAACACTCCAGGCAGTCAGATGAGCATGATGGATTCCTGGTTTACTAAGCACACTAGCAGAAGTGAAGGGATTCCGTAGGGAAGCATTCTCCTATACCATTCACTATATAAAGAATTGAAAAGAATAGACAAATTGGCAAAACTCACTTTTCCCAGCACGGCTAGTTTGAACTTCAATTCACTGTTTAGTGAACCAATCCTATGGTTCTCTTATTTTGCTGTTTACTTACCTGCGTTTGCTCTTCTGGACAGCAGGGGACCCAGGGAGCAGCCTGGAGCCTCTATACAGAGCAGGACCAGGAAGAGAATGTAACATGCAGCCTTTGGAAAAAGGTGTCCTTAAATTCAGCCATTGTGGCAGAGACATTTATTGCAGCCTCATCCCAGAGCTGTGCCCTGTGTGTGGGCAAAGTGCTGTAAACTCCTGGAAGCTGGAAGACGCACCTGTCAGCATTCCCAGCCCTTTCCTGAATGGACACTGGGAAAAATGCAGCTTTGTACTCAAACCAACAGCAGGCCTGTTTGGGTAATATTATACACCTTCTGTTGTATTACTAAATGTATATAACTCTCCATGTTGGAGCCATTTGTTTGTTGGGTGTGTGAATAACTTATTATTATTTATTTTTTTAAACTGCATGTTTTTCATTACATATAGCATGCAATGAGTTAATCTGAGGAAATCAGGACAAGATCATTTGGGGCTAGTTGTGGGAAATCAATGGCAGTATTCCACTAAAGGTGCAGTTATCCAGATACTGTAGGTATTATCTGTTGGCTACCCTACACTAGCCAGGAATTAGGCCTACACTAGCCAGGAATATACTAAATGTATATAACTCTCCATGTTGGAGCCATTTGTTTGTTGGGTGTGTGAATAACCTTACACTAGGAACAAAGATGTGAGAGATAATTCCAAGCAGGCAAGAATGCAAATCTATTCCCCAGACCATTATTTAAGATGAAAGACCATTAAACTAATGGGTGATTTTAGGACTTGTGGACACTGTGCTATTGTTACTATACCCCATGTTTAGAAGGGAGTAGTTCTTGGGACAAGCTTTTGCCCTCATCTCTGACTTGCCAAATTCTATGATAATTGTGTATTTTCACTTGTAGTATCACTCCTAAGTAGCCATTTATAATACCCTCAAAACATTCCTAAACTCACTGCATTATAAATGGATCCTGTTGACGCTCTTTATTGAAACTCTATTTTCCTCATCACAGAAACATTGGACAGCAATTTGATGTTTGATAAATGTGCATCTGCTATCATTTTTTATGTTTTGGCAATTCATGGACTTTTTAAGTTTAAAGGATCACTATAATGTCAGGAAAACAAAGCTGTTTTCCTGACACTATAGTGCCCTGAGGGTGCCCCCACCCTCAGGGTCCCCCTCCCGTGGCGCTGAAGGGGTTAAAACCCCCTCAGCAGCTTACCTTATTCCACCGGCGAGCTCCCTCAGCGCTGGTGACATCAGCTCCCCCGTCTGACGTCAGCGGAGCCAAATGCACATGCGCGGCAAGTGCCACACACGCATTCAAAGTGTCCATAGGATGCTTTCCTATGGACGCTCTGCGCGATGGAGGCATAATATGCCTCCAGCGTTGCAGAGGCGCCTCTAGTGGCTGTCCGGAAGACAACTAGAGGCAGGCTTAACCCCAAATGTAAACATAGCAGTTTAAAACCTGAGGGACCTGGCACCCAGACCACTTCATTGATCTGAAGTGGTCTGGGTGACTATAGTGTCCCTTTAAGTTAACACTGACAAAGAAATAAAAAAATTGCATCAAGTTAGAAAATTCAGCTGTTCTAATTGTGTCTTTCAGGGAATATGATGGGTGCTCCGATCTTCACGTTGGGATATCAAGCACCAGTGGTGAGATACTGCATTACATACACTTTTTTAAATGTACAATCCACGTAACCCAGCTTCATGTTTATTCCCCTGCATGTACAGGCCACATGTGTTAAGAGTGCCAGGTTTGTTACGTTTAGAAGACATGAAGGTTATTTTGTCATTTCCTATTCAACCTGTTGTAACATTATATTCACGGGGGCTTAGAAATAATCTATTAGCATGTATTCTTCTGTGCTGAATAAATAAGAGAGTGACTGACTACTGCACATGACTCATATGCAGGAGCCTCACATATGGTTACTGAAGTAATGTCAAACAGGGGGTAACCCTTACTGATCAATATAGAAGCAAAAAATAGTTAGAGAAACCCAGCAGAGTGGAAGTTTCACTACGAGATTACTATAAATGGGTAGAAGCCACTTTATTAGGATAAAAACATAGAACTTTATTAGCTAAGATTAAAAAGGAAAAAACGTGTCTACAAATGTGGACAAACTAGTGTGTCTAGTGGGCTGAATGTATTGTAACAACAGATATTCTTTAACAGAAAAAAGGGGATTAACCACTGTTAGATATAAGGTCAGTAAAGAACTAGTTAATACATATAGATCACATAGAAGAGGAGTGTCAGAAAACTGGACACTCTGTGTCTAGGCAAAGGTGCTGCAATATATCAGATAGATTGTTACAAAGTATTATTTAAGAGCTCATGCTTAGGAGAGGTTGAAATTAAGTAATCATTTTACTGATGTGGTAGTGGGCAGGGAGTAAGTATAGATGCAGTTAATTTTATTAAAGGACCACTGTAGTGCCAGGAAAACAAACTCATTGATTGTGAGAGGGAGGGGGGTAATGAGGGGAGAGGGGTGTGATTGATTGTGAGAGGTGGGGGGGTGATGTGATGAGTAGAGAGAGGGGGGGTGATGTGATGAGGAGAGGGAGGGGGGGAGATGCAGGGGGGATTAAAAATTACCTTAAATCGCTGGTGGTCCGGTGCCTATCATTTCCGGTCTGCAGCTCCGCGGAGCTGCAGACCATGGATCTCGCAAGACCCAATCAGAGCGTTGCCGTAGTAACTTGCGGCAACGCTCTGATTGGGCAGTGCTCGCGAGACACATGGTCAGCAGCTCTGCACATTGCGTAGCTGCAGACCTGTTTTGGCGATGGGCGCAGGAGGGGCATTGCAGTCTGTCCCGGGCTCCCCCTAGTAAATTGGCACCCGGGACTGCCCCCTCCCCCGCAGTACGCCACTGGGTACTGGGAACTGCCTCGAAGCAGTTCAAGGGAGTTATTAGTTTATCTAGTATTAAGATTTATTTATCTAATTTTATTAGGAGTCATAGGCAGAGTACATATTGGTGTTCTCTTCATCACTTAGCGCTGCCGTATCGTTACTCCTTTTTCTAAGTATCCATCTAATTATGCCATTATGGCTCAAACGGTTTATTTAACGTGTATATCTTTTATATAACTGCATCTATACTTACTCCCTGCCCACTACCACATGAGTAAATTGATTACTTAATTTTAACCTCTCCTAAGCAAGAGCTCTTAAAGGACCACTATAGTTGGCACTATAGTGCCCTGAGGGTGCCCCCACCCTCAGGGACCCCCTCCTGCCCAGCTCTGGAAAGGGGTTAAAACTTACCTTTTTCCAGCGCTGGGTGGGGAGCTCTTCTCCTCCGATCCTCCTCCTCTCCTCCCCGTCGGCTGGCTGCGCATGCATTCAACCGGTCGCATAGGAAAGCATTATCAATGCTTTCCTATGGACGCTTGCGTGCTCTCACTGTGATTTTTCACAGTGCGAATCACGCAAGCGCCTCTAGCGGCTGTCAATGAGACAGCCGCTAGAGGCTTTGGGGGAAGGCTTAACCCATTCATAAACATAGCAGTTTCTCTGAAACTGCTATGTTTATAAAAGAATGGGTTAACCCTAGATGGACCTGGCACCCAGACCACTTCATTAAGCTGAAGTGGTCTGGGTGCCTAGAGTGGTCCTTTAAATAATACTTTGTAACAATCTGATATATAACGGTAACGTTGCCTAGACACAGAGTGTCCAGTTTTCTGACACTCCTCATCTATGTGTATTAACTAGTTCTTTACTGACCTTATATCCAATAGTGGTTAATCCCCTTTTTTCTGTAGAAGAATGTCTGTTGTTACAATATATTCAGCCCACGAGCGACACTAGTTTGTCCACGTTTGTAGACATGTTTTTTTCTTTTTAATCTTAGCTAATAAAGTTCTATGTTTTTATCCTAATAAAGTGGCTTCTACCCATTTATAGTAATCTCGTAGTGAAACTTCCTCTCTGCTGGGTTTCTCTAACTATTTTTTGCTTCCATATTCTTCTGTGCTGTTACTGTTTAGCATGAAGATACATTGGACAGTATGAGACTTGAAGGGTAGTGATAGGACTCACAAATGGTAGTATGAGAAATATGCCAAATGTTTAGTTATACGGCAGACGTTAGATAGAAGTCCTGTGCATGGAATTACTAAATTGTCCTTACATGTGCAGACATAATATGAAAATGCAGCACGCATAAAAAATATGGGCTAATACCCTAATGAGCTTACAAAATGTGATATAAATGCCCATTACAGAGCATGCACAATGTAAAATGGTTTATAAAAACTTTATTTACTACGTTGGGGTGAACAGGGAGCAGTTGAAGCGTGATCAAAGACAAAAGAACTCCAAGTAGGTCACAGTTATAGGCAGGTCAGAACTAGGATTAAATGCACACAGGGATATTTACATTTATATTTAAGGTGACAATTCAGAGTTAATTTCATATTTATGGCCAACTTAACTGTACTGGAAAAAAAAAAAATCTGTCAGCTACTTTGACATTTTAAAGAGTTACGGCAACCCCTTTTTTCCTATATATCTTTTTTTAATATATAAAATTTAGTGAGCCCATTTTTAAAGAGAGACAGATTATATATATATATATATATATATATATATAATCTGTCTCTCTTTTTAAAAATGGGCTCACTAAATTATATGCAAGTCGCATCGTTGCAAAAGGAAGGCAACGAGTGTGCACTTTAATCCACCAAATAATGGGCCATGCGCAAAACATGCTCACATTCCCACACATTGAGAAACACAAACGCATGCAAAGGCTGGTCAACGGCATCCAGGGCTGAAACCAGAAATGGGAATAATGCCACTGTGCCCTGCCACAGATGGGTTTACAATTAGCATTTTGTTTGCTTTATATAATTTGTTCACAATATACACAGTAGGAGTTTGTATAGTGGTTTATTTTGAGTGTTTACTGCCACTATAATCAAGGTTATGTCACAACTGTTCTCATGTAAAAACCCACATCCTTTACTGCCTCCTGTATTGATTAGCATTGGAGATAAACTGGTTTATAAACACAGAATTAAATCCAAATTGCAAAACGTAGGCTACAATAGCCAAGCTGGGCTTACTTTGTATGGACTAGAAAACTGATGCATCAGATTTAGTATTGTATTGAGGGGATAATATACAAGGTGAATGGCTGTTAATGGATTAGATTGACTGCAAATTAACCTATAGGTGTTTGTTCCCAGGTTTTGTGTTTCATTACAATGAGACAGGCATTCACAGAGATGATTTGGGCTGGGAGCAGTGTGTGAGTGTTCCACTTGTGCCACCAGATAACTACGTGTTGTTCAACCAATGGGATTGCTACTTGCAGGAATTTGCATCATTAGATAAATGGCTATCGCTCAGGTATGGATTTATTTAAAAACCAGAAAATAACAATGGATTCACTAATTAAGTTCATAAACATGCAAAGTTTATGTTCATTACTGCATTTATATTATAAATAAGAATAGTGGTCAAATCCAGGTTAGAGTCATCCTGTAAAACAGTTGTAACATTAATGAGAACCTGTTGAAATATTTGACCAATAATATTAATGTTGAGGCCTACATCAATGCATAAATTGTAAAGGAACACCCCCAAACCTGTAACCATGTAACCTCATTTAAGTTATTGTGGGAGATGGAGTGTCTGACTACATTGCAATATTTTATTTCCAAATTTGGAGCTTCAGTGCCTGATACAGCTGCTCCCTGGCTTCCTTCTTTTCACTGTAGTATGAGAAAGGTTTAGCCATTGATATATTGAGAATGTCACCTTAGTTGAAGGTAAGACAGTGCGCCTGCATTTTAGTTGTTAAGGGTATGGGTGTGTTCCTTTAATATAAATGTTCAGTGTATCATGATATAGATATTTTTTTAAAAAGGATATTACAGTGAGTGATTTCGTATAGCCAATATTTGTCAAATGAATCCATACATGTCATGTACGGTCACAGCCTAATTTCATCTGCATTTTTTTTTTTTTTTTGCCAGTCCAAGTCTTATTAAAATTCTAGAATTAAACTTATTTTTAGAGTTGGCTGTATAATATATCACAGTAACAATATAAGAAATGTAACTGCTTAACTCCTTCACCAACAGATGGCTTGCCAAAATAGCTTACAACAACCCCCATCCAAGAGAGAGAGATATATATATATATATACACACACACACACACACACACACACACACACAGGTACCTCGGTTTACAAATAAAAATACATTGAAAATAATGCCTAGGGTTACAATATTTTTTCGCAATACAAAGCAAGCTTCCCCAGGATGCATTGCGCCTGAGAGGTTTATAGCACCACTCCGTGCATGCTGGAGTCTGTGGTTAGCGCGTGGCGTAGAGTGTGGAGGTGTTGGAGTGGCTTTTGCATCAAGTTTTAGAGCCATTCTGGATTTTTTTTGCAGTGGTTTTTAGGACTTTTTTGGTGCATTTCTCAAGTGGTGTAAAGGTAAGGAGCTGAGCTTTGTCATTTGCATGCCTTTTACTGTGTGTTCTACATTGTGGGTTGGTTACCATGCCAGCTCATTTTGCCTTTTTCTGACCTCCAGAACGGATTAATTGGTTTTCAATGCATTCCTATGGGAAACCGTGTTTCGTTTACGAATTTTTCGCAATAAGAAACGTCCCAGAGAACGCATTAAACTTGTAAACCGAGGTACCACTATATATGTATAGTCTCCTTCATATCTTGTCTGGGTACAGACCCCTCTGAATGCTAGCTTTCAGCATCAACAAAGAGCGGCACAGGTCAGGCCACAAAGATCTGCTGTATGGGACCTCAAAAATAATAATTTGCAAATTAAATTCACTTTCAATAATAAAAATAATGTATACACAATCCTGGGTATGGGTGAATACACATGTTCTGACGTGAAGGGGGTTAACACCATAACCATTATAGCTAGGGATGCACCGAAATTTTTGGCCGAAAATGGGTCAAATTTGCCGAAATTAATTTTGTTTTTAATATTTGTAGTGCATAGTTTAACAGACATGCTTGCATTAACAATTCAGATGATTATCACAAAGAAAGATAGTAATGATAAGTCAAAAATACTGCACTTGGGACAGGGGAGAGGAGAAAAGAACACTATGGGACAAGTAAGGGGGGGAGACTAAACGAAGGGAGAAGGGGAGTTTTTAAAATTAGATGAATTAAAAAGTCTAATATTAATAAAATTATAGGATTTTTTTTTTTTTTTTATCTTTTGGGGAAAGTCATTTTTGGCCAAGGGCATCCTGAATTTTAATTTATGTGCATCCCTAATTCTAGCGAATATGATGTTAAAAGTGCCCTGGTGCTGTCCGAGCTTAATTTTTTTTTTTTTCTAGCCCATTTTAGAACGATGTGAAAACTTATCTGGGCACCCACAACTCTGGTATACCTTTGCAGGAGAATCCAGTTAACTCTACTAGGAGACCCAGGAAAGCTGTCAAACTGTCTTAAAAATTTAAATAGGAGGGTGCCAGATGCTTGGGAGTGTTCCTTTAAAATGTCATATATCCGATCACCTGCTTTCTTGTGTCACAGAGTATCCAGTTCTCTCTGTTTATCAATATTTTATTAATGACTTTTTAGATACAACGAGGAAGACCACAATTGTTACACGTTTGCACTGCAGTTTATCAATACTATAAGGACTCTTCAGGAGAAGCCACCACTCACTAAGAAATATTTTACAGAAAGATTTGTTTTACCGCGGACCAGACGAGTATCTAAATATATGACTATCTTTCGTGAGGTTTCCCAAAATGATTTCTATATAGTTGAAAAGCACTAATTTTTTTTATTTATTTTTTTGGGACAGACAAGCTATTTTGAAATAACAATTGGAAATATTTTCAGTTCCTTTTCATGCAATTGGAAGAAAAAAAAAACCATTAAATATGTAAGGGTATTCAGGTCTTCAAAGTGTATTTTTACACTCACTCCATCAATGTATCTGAACTTAAATTTCAAGAGGCACTAAAAACAAAACAACTGTGGTTTTCATGCAAGGACTATATTGATGCAAAAATAACAAGGATATCCTGGCTCTCAAAAATCATCCTCAGCAGCCTGGCACAAGGTGCTTCCACATAATGAGTCCAAAATATTTAAGTTAGGGGATTTTTTTTTTTTTTTTTTTTTGAAGGGGGGGGGGGGGAATAGCTTTGAAAAAAGGACATCATAGGCACCCAGAACTCTCCATCTAATTGAAGTAGTCTGGGCAGTGTCCCTGCTCTCTTAAACCTGCAATGTATAACATCCTGCAATGTTTACATTGCAGGATTAAGACTGCCTCTAGTGGCTGACTCCTAGACAGCCACTAGAGGCACTTCCTGCAAGTGCACAGAGTTTAAGCTCTAGATGAAAAAAATCCAGCATGTTGAAAACCTTCCCTTAGGAAAGAATGTAGTTAGTGCATTAGGGTCTTGCATCGCGCCAACGTCAACAGAGTTTGATCCAGAGCCAAGTGACATTGATGCTTGAATCAGGTGAGTATTTAAAGGGTGTTTTTGGGGGGTTTATTCCTTTATCCCTGTGGGCGCGGGTGATGGGCGGGTAGAGTGTTGGGGAATACAAAACTGTATCCTGGACACTTTAGTGTTCCTTTAACCTTTTCTGCCCTTTCAAATTGACACAAGCTCCCAGTCACAGAGTCTAAATCTTATAAATATAGTTACTTGCTGGAGTTTAATGTGAGAAAAAAGCAGGTAAAAAAGAAAAGAAAAATTACACATTTCTTTTGAATGCTTTTTATTATAGCTCATCCTGGTCGATTCTCTCCCGTGAAGCAATCCAGCGATTTAAGATCAATTCCTACAATGAGAAACATTGTATTAAAATAGATATTGTTTACTGTATAGCTTTTCTCTTGAGCTCTAGTCAACTGTGTGTGTGTATATATATATATATATATATATATATATATATGACTATTTGAGCAGAAGAATGATCCAATTTCCCATAAATTATGCATTTTCATAAATATCAGATCAATGCAAACTTTCTACACACATAGGAATGTGTGGTTTCCTGAATAGTACAATTACCAAATACCATTCATTTTTCTTAGTGATTCTCACTTGTAATGTCTCTTTTACATTCAGAAAATGTGTATGTACATGCTGGAGTAGTGATCTATACTGAATAGCTGTCCTTGCAACTGCTGCATCACAGTAGTGAAGCCACTTCCTTCACAGACAGACATCAGTTCAAACTTTCAAGAATTAAGGATTTAAAGAGGTTCTAAAGCAATAATCAAGTGTGGTTCTGATGCCAGGACTCTCCTGACACCGTTCCCCAGGAAGAATTCAAACCAGTTTTCAATGGGTCGTCACTTAAAATGGTTCTCTGCAGTCTTTCTGGTCTTTATGTTAAAGTGACATTTCTCATTCTACTTTAGCTATCAATTTTGTGCAACTTTTTACATCTATCATTGGCCAAGAGTGTCAGTGTATGCTCTTGGCCAATGAATGACATGAAAAATGGTTTGACTCCTGGCACAGAACCACTAGTGTGGGCTATAGTGATTATGGGTGGGATTTCAACAACCCAGCCTCAGTTAACACCTCTAATGAGCAGTAAAAAAAACATGCTTTTTACTTGCCTGCACTTTAATCTTTTTTATACACTCTGGAGAGAGCAGATCTTTTTCAGTGAAGCCAGGTGGTTTGATTAGGTAACAAAACAAGAGCTCCTGTAAAAGGATACACATATTTTAACATGAAAAGAGATTATATAGCAACATATTATACTTATTTATTCTAACCATATCTTTAACATATCTATTCTATCAAAGGCTTTAAGATGCCAATGGATATGCTGTAAAATAATAAAAATAATTTCGTGTGTAATGGTAATTTAATGGTTATACAACTCCTACCTAGACTTCTATTACAGTGACTAAGATGGTATTTTAACAGTTTGAAAAACTGCAAAAAAAAGTTCAATGACATTTTGATACTAAAACAATCTCATAGTGGTCTCGCCTTACCTTTGATACATTAACGGTTGTCCTGTTGAGGCCAGCTAATGATTTCCATGTTAGAGGCCGCAACGAATGCCCTTCAAAATTCTCATTAACAAATTCTACAATTACAGAATAACTGGAAGAACACAAAAGTTGTGAGTTTGTGAATAACCTTGATAAAGTATTATAGGTGTCAAAACAGTTATTAAGCAAATTAACATCAGATAGTGGCAATAACAGAACATGGTTTAAGAGATTTTTGTATGAGGATAATAAAATGAACACATGGCAAGACTCATATCGCAACTCAATGGGACCTCTGTTTGGATGTTCTTACTCATAATGCACAAAGATTATATGTGTGACAGATGGAGACTGTTCAAGTCAAAGTGTGACATATATTCCTGCAACCCCCATGTGCATATGATGGAGCATTGAGAGAAATCTGTGCATGCATATGTGAGTAACCCTGGTTTCAATAATTCCATGGACACCTATGTCTCATCTTACTCTGTGGTCAGATGCAAATATTTCAAAGAACACCATAAAACACCTCATTCTCACAGACTGGTCAACACAAGATACTGCAATATCCCAGGAAATATCCCAGTCCTGACCCGGAGACCCCTGAGATCACATATCACCAGCACAAGAACAAACTCACACAGTGCTGGGCCAACACATGCAGTACTCTGCCAATAGACATTCCAATGCAACTCTAGTTTCTATTAAATCAGCAGAACCATACTCCTGTGAGGTTAGGGTGCTTACCTCCACTAAAGACAAACTTTAGAACTCCTCTGACTGACAGAGAATCATATTCCCCCACATTCAGATTTTTATTTTTTTAATCTGCACTTTATTCAGATTCATCAAGCTTGTATAAAGGCCCTGTCTGGTCCAGACATATTTGGGAAGAAATATTTTAAAAACCTTTAGCAAATTTTAGCTCCTGATTTGCTTGCTGTCTTTAACAGTCTTTTGAAGGGAGAGGACCTTCATAGCGAATCCATTATTCTTATATAGGGGAGGAAACCTACTAAGATTGGAAGCAATATACTTATTTCCATTGTATGTAACATCAACTCAAAATATTTGGCAAGTCACTTTACATAGTTCTATCATTAATCCAGAACAGGCAAAATGTATAACCCAACACCAGGCTTGTCAAAATGTGTCAATTTCATATGGGCCAGAGTAATGAAGACAGCTTTGAATACAGAGAAGGCAGTTGATAGACTAAACTGGCTTTTTCTTTTGTGGACAGTTTATTGGTTTACACAGACATTTTATAGAGTTCAGGTTATTACTCAAAACACCTTGCCCATCCATTCCAGTTGCATAACGGAATCAGCACACTAACACCGTTATCACCATATAGAACCCCTCCTACACTTAATTCACCAAAATAAGGTCCATTAGGAAATGTTCATAGAAAAAGATTTACACGTGTCCGCATATGCAAAAATACTTATTTTGAGTTAAGTTTTTGGTTTTCAAAATTAAGAACTCTAGAGAGATGCCTTTCAATCTCTAGGTTGTGGACACAACTTATATCCAACTAGCTTCCCAGGGTTTGAATAGAGGTTTCTATTAACAGTTGAGCCTTGAAAGTTGTTCAAATACAACTGTCCCTGGTTCTCACCTTGAAAATGGAATTGGAAAAAATAAATCGTCACCTCATCTTATAGGCTAAACACATTATTTTACCCATTTCAAAAAAAAAAAAATGTAGTAAACTCTTTGGACACACTGGAAACTAGAAGAGCCCTTAATTAGATTTGTTTTTAAGTAGCTATAAATATGGTATTTCACCCTTTTCCTGGGGGCTTGGAAGGCAGCAACCTCTTCAGGTATATTTTTAGAACTTGCGTGCAGGATACCCTTACACTTGAGTTCAACTCTATATATTAATCTTTGCTGTGACTATTCCATATCCAGAAGTAGCTTCCCTCAACTTAACCTTAGGCTAATCTAGAAGGCACTTATTTGGCTCAGGTTGATCGATAACGCTAAACCCTGACAGAAGGCAGCACTCCATAAAAAATTGTATTCAAGAATAGACTACAATTTGGTATAACGAGAGCTTGCACAATTTACTTTCTACTGGTATCATACCTAGTACTTGGGCCACAATTCTATACAAATCACAGAAACATTCCCACTCAGGACGCACAAGAAAAAAAAAAAAAAACAAGAACAAGCCCAACTTGTGGACTCAACTAAAAAGGATAGGGGAATTAGAAATATATAAAAAAATAAAATAAAAAAACAAACATAAAAAAGGAGCTAATATTCAAAGTTCTACAAAGGGAAATTAGGGATTACTTTTCCTTATGTAGCACTAGGAGGTTGACAAAACTTGACAAAGGGCTTTAGTAAAGCTCCACTGCCTTAGTCAACTTTGTCACTGGCCCAGGATTTAAGTACTCACCTGCCTCCAGTATTGCATCAAATCCTGTTGTGGCTTGTAATTGCTTCAATGCCAATTTTTGCACATGCCCAGCTGTGGAACTGAAGAACATGGCAGCGCCAAAGAAGAAGACCTTTAGGGACCATCGATATATCAGTGACGGTAAGTAAAGCCAGTCACCAGGTCTGAAAGTGGCTATGGAACATCAAGGGGCACAGATGCACCTCCCTGACCTCCCTGAAAGGTTTGGGGAACACTGAAAAGTGTCAGTGCACACTACACTTGTTTTTATAAAAAAGTGTTTTGCATAATTTCCCATTAAAATGTATGACACAAGATTCACTGCTTGAGTCTAAATGCTATTCCTCCTCGTAGTTTTACCACTCTAAATATGTAAGGATGGGGGGCGGGGCCGGACCGCCGATGGGATCAGACGTGCTCTGTCTGAGCTCCCGCTTTGGGGCCGGAAAATCGGCGCAAACTGGAGGCAAAATCTTTCCAGCAACCCGCAACGGAGACTAAACGGAGCCCCAGATCCTGGGGTATGAGGAGAAACCCCTCACGATTCTGTCCGGTGCCTACAGTAACTCGACAACGGCCCGAGGCATGTTGGAGCTTGAGCCGGGATGAGACGGCCGCTCTCCCGGGTCTCCGGTTGGTGTCCGGCCCTCCCCCCCCCTCTGGACCGGGGGGGGGTCATCCCGGTCCACATAATCAACTGCTATTACGCCAAGCTGGGCAGAAAACAATCACCCCGCTGGGAAACACTCACCAGCAGCACCCTCCCAAGATGGCCACCGCACACCAGCCACAAGTGCAAACTACCCACAGGATGGAACTTGCACACAGACGAAACCATCCAGCGCCATCTGACCACCACAGTAATCATCTCCAGGGATGTGTCGGCTCACTACACTGGGCTAAACAAGGTGATGTTTGCAGCATATGTATTTGGTGGAAAAACTCCTTTGTGCCTGAGGAAAGCACCGTCACTCTCCTGAGGCCCACCCTATCCCTTCTGGAGGCAACTACAGTAGCTGCAGCTGCATCCACGCTTATCCTGTGCGACAACCTTCAGAGCAAGCACACTGCCAGCATTGGGTATCGATTAAACAAACCCACCAGGCTATATGCTGGCTCACTGAGCAGACCAACAACGGGTGTCGGATGAAACCCTGACTACTGGACTCCCACCCATGCTGGACTGAAACCGGGTAACCAGAAAGGTCACCACCTTGGGACTCCTTAAGCTGCCTATGATGACCTGAGATTTCCTAGATTGATTTATCTTTACCCTAGCTAAGCTACTGTCACTTAAAAGCGTCTATACATATGTCTGTTTCCGCTATAATCTTATACATTTCGCACTCAGTTTTGGACACCAAGTGAATTCCTAGTATAATGCTGCAAAATGTGCGATGACCCTACTTAATATAAGCGACTTGACCCAATGTGAATAAGTGCATAATGTTTGGTGTATGCTGGAGGGTACCGTGACATATTAATGCGATGAAACTTTACAAAATAAGCAT